AACTAGAACACGGATCAAATTTAGTTTTCTGTTAGAAGTTAGTTTTGTAACAGAAATTATTTTCTAAACTATAGATGATGCAGTTAAACTCCCATCTGTTTAAAAGAAAATCTGCAAAAAAAAATTGAAAGCAGCTCACTTTCATGATATAAACCAGACACAATAGTGGCAGTGTGCAATTACACACATACACACACACACACACACACACACACACACACACCTATCATTTTTACTCCTACACTAGAAAAAGGAAAGAATATAGAATTTTTTTCTTAATTGAATAATTTGTCTATATTCAGGTATACTATTTGTACTTCAGTAATTCTTAAAGGCCATAATTGGATTATTAGTAGTACAGTGAAATATCAGACTTTTATGATGAAGTAAAAATGCTTAGTTGATTGAAATTTAAAGTTAGCTACTGGAAGTGAGTGACTGTAGCTGGTGTTACAGTAGCCAAACAGATGACTTCTGTTTTCATGACTGAACAACAGAAGCCTATCTGCCACTTATTACCATAATGGACCTCTCAATTCCTATTTTCTCTGTGCTATATCAATTTTGTGACAACCTGAGGAGGTGTACATCACAATTCCAATACTGCAAGAGTTCAGTATTCATTGCTACAGAACCAGAGGAAATGATAATCTGGATTTTTAAAAATGTCTTCTTGAGAAATGAGATTAATATGAAATTGAAAATTCAAATGTGTCTGAAGATCTCTGTCTTATGGCTTCAGGAAGTATTTGTAAAGAAATTACCTGGAATGGCATAATCTACAACCTTCATAGTACAAGGGATGCCTGGAAGGCATGGCTTATGCTAATTTTTCTTCCAGCTCACTGTTAAATTGTGGTTCTGCTGACCCCGTTACCTTGTGATGACTGATACTTACTGTAGTGCTGTCCACTACTTTGAAACCCAGCTGACTTTTCCTTGTTCCATCAGCTAGGTTTGAGAAATGAGGTACATGTTTTGGTGCCCTGAGAAGTGAGGAGCTTGCTTTATAAATTACAGCGAAAATAATGTGAGATGAAATAAGTCTTCCTTAAGATACAGCCTAAGAAACACTATTCTTTGAAATCTTCACGCAGGACTTCTCAGAAATGGTCTATCTAAAACAGAGCAGTGCAAGATTTTATATAATGCTACTTAGAGATAGATCATTGTGTAATCCCTATATAATCAGAAGAATTCTCTAGAAGAAAATGAATGTCGGAGAGATCCTAAAATGGCAGCTTGCTAGGGGATCGGGCAGAGAGTCTCTCCAGAGAAATCATATTAGATGCTAGAATATGACAACATGGAGAGAGCCAGATGAATGGATAATGATTCTTATCAACCAAGACAGCACGGCTGGAGGATTTAAAGTCATGCTGAGACTTCGAAGGCTGATAACAGGAGGCTGCAAATCCCATGCCTTTAATGCAGCAAACTGACCTGTGGACCCAACAGGAAAAGCTGTGTTGGCTTTTGGTGATTGCTGGAAATTGAGACCTGGGACCCCGAGAAGCAGCCAGGACTGCCCCGCTGCACCAGAGGAGATTGTGAAAGGCTCTGGAGCTCTGAAGCCTAACGCTGTGCAGTTTTCTGACCATTCCATGCTGTGCCGGGAGCGCAGTGAGGGTGAGCAGCGTGGTGTGCAGTAGACTCAAGAGGAGGACCTGCACTGAGCCCTGGTAAGTACTGGGGACTGGGTCCTGTGGCTGCTGGGGTTGGCCAGAGAACATCTTGGAACTGGGCAGAGCCCGCCACCACGGGGACATCAATAACACAGAGTGTCTGGTGGAAGACATCTTAGAGTTGGGCAGAACCTGAGGCTGGTGACATCACCGAGTCACCCCTGTAGAGAGGTCTTGAAATTGGGCAGAGCCTGATGCTGTGTTGGCTTCAGCATCATACAGAGAACAAGTGGAAGACATCTTGGAATTGAGCAGACCCGCTGTCCTGGTACTCCTGTCACAGAGAGGTCTGGAAGATAACAGCTGGGATTTGGGCAGAACCCTGTGCCACAGTGACATTAGTCAGCTGCTTCTGGCACAGAGAGAAATGGCAGGATCTGCTGGGGATGAACCAAGCCTCTGCTTGGGGCCCAATAAGCAGTTACAAAATAGTCACAACTCTGTGACATCCAGAAAGTACAGCCTAATTTACAGATTGACTAGCACAGAGGCTGGAGGCTATCCTGTACCGTCCCTGCATCCCAGCCGAACCCAGATAAGAGCAAATTGGGGAAGAGAGCAAAAACTCAAGTCAGTACACTTCTGAAAGGCCCTAAGCAATACGGAGAGGGCCAGAGACCCCCAGGACACTGCAGTCTGAAAGAATCCAGAAACATGACAAGAGATAAAAATAAAAATAAATCTCCAGTTGCCCAACATGAGAAAATAAGCCCAGGAGAAGTAAACACTGAAGAGAACAAGCATAGTAACCATCCAATACTGGATACAACATCAGCCGAAATTAAAAAATACCTCCATGACCTCATAGATGAATTTAAAGCTGGACTCCTGATCCAAGTGAGGCAAGATATAAAAAGATTAATTAAAGAAATGACAAGCCCCGCCCAAGAGAACACAGATGGAAGAACTGAGGAAATCAGAAAAGAAAGAGAAACTTCTGAAGAAGAATTTAAACATAACTTAGAATACATGAAACAGATCCAAAGAGATTACCAGGAAACTAAAAACTCCATTGAACATTGGAAAAATATCCTGACAGAAATTAAGCCAGCCTTCTGAAACTTGAAGAGAGATTTATGGCATATGATCGTGAAAGAAAAAGCCTCTTAAAAATAACAAGGAACCAGAAAGAAACAATTCAAAGGCTAGAAGATGACAAAAAGATACATAACTTTTTAAGAATAAAGAATGTGAGTGAGGAAGCAGGAGCAACCAAAAATGAAATACAAAGAATATTCACAGATATATTAAAGCAAAAATTCCCATGTATAGCAAAAAAAATGATATCCAGATAAAAGAGGCATACAGAACACCAGCCACCTACAACCAAAACAGATCTACGCCTAGACATATAATAATCAAGATTCCAGAAATCCACCAAAAGAACAGAATATTAAAAGCAGCCAGAGAAAAGAAGCAGATTACTTACAATGGGAAAATTTTCAAAGTAACAACAGACTTATCAACACAAACTCTTAAGTCAAGAAGGGAATGGACAGAAATATTCCAAGTCCTGAAAGAAAATAATATGCAACCAAGGCTCATATACCCGTCAAAACTCTCTCTCAAAATTGATGGAGAAAGAAGGTGCTTCCAAGACAAGGAGGAAGTGTGGGAGTTTGTGGCCACCAATCCAACTCTACAGAGAGTGCTGAAGGACATTCCAGAGAAAGAGAGGAAGGGATACCAGGATTCCAGCAACAGTGGCAGAGAGGCCCCAATGAATGGGGCACACAGTGGAATGAGGGAATAAGGTGGACAAATTATAGCAGAAAAGTGGAGTAGCAGACATGAGGCAGAGACGGTAAGCTATAGTCTTTAGTATAGACAGCTCTGAAACACTATAAAAAAGGCAGAGGTCATTGTTAATAGTGTATCAGGATTTAAAAGACACAGTAGTCTTATCGCCATATTTAGTTTGAGTTTAATTTGTTCTGGTCTGTCCACTCATATCAGATTTGAGGGCACAGACATCTGACCCCAAAATACCAGGTTATACCATGGTCACTATCCTTACTTTCCTATTAACTTAAACTGAAATCCTGTATTACTTACATTGTCTTACTATGACTGATCTTAATAGAATCTGAATCATAAGACCATGGGTTGGCCTTGGCTGATTTTATTTGAATTTGGTATGCTTGTTAGTATCAACCCTAAAAGTAGAGGCAACTACTCTGAAGATGACAAGATGTAAAGGATATCCATACTGGTATTAACTATTAACAGCTCTCAAATCCTACAATGCTTTCAAAGTTGTGTTTTTATAAAAATAGGTAATACTATATTTAACTATATTAAGCTGGTGTTGTGGACAAATCTATTGAAAATAACAAGAGAAAACATAGTAACTATGGAAGATCATCTATATTGTGGTCTTATATGTCTTATCCATTGCATGTTTTTCTAGGAATTTGTTTTGCTGTCTTGTTACAACTTGGTTTTCCCTATAATACAGAGAGGATAGATATATATGTAGAAATTCACACGAGTTTTTTAAAAAAAATATTTACGGGAACAGATTATATAATACAAGATGTAATGAACAGATACTCTGAAGAAGAGATGCTAAGAAACCCAATGCTAATTTTGTATCATTATGATATAAATTCTAGCAATACTATTGTTCGCTGATTAGAATGACATTGGTCTGTTCTCTTGAGTTCAATTTCACCATATGTAGAGATGGGGACGGCTACCACGAAGAGAATGAGAGATGCGATGGTACTTATTATTGTCTTCCCTAATGTTGGATCTTGAAGACCTAAAAAGCCTTCATCATCCTTTAATGATTTGATTAGTTCTATAATATGCAATAAGTATATAAAGTGGATGAAGATGGGGACAACTATTTGTAAGAAACTAGAGATAGTTAGATAGACAGTGAAGATCTCCAGTGGACTTGCTTTGAAATCTGTATTTCTTTAAATTGTTTTTTTTAACTATTTTGTTCTGTTTTGATATGTTTAATCTTAACCTCTTTGAGATGTAAAACAAGTGTGTAGGACTGATAACCATATCACTGAGTTTTTGTTCATTATTGAGCAGAACTGTTTGTAGTGTCACTTTTTGAATGTCATTCTAAAAACTTTAATTTTGTAACCTGAACAGCTATTTCTAAGATGACAATATGTAACTTATCAACCAGCGATTTCTTACCATTTGTTTTTCTGTAATTTTGTATTATTTCTACACTTTTTTTTACCTCCATGTATTTTTTTTTGTTTCCTTTTCTTTAAAGAAAAAGAAAAAAAAAAAGAAAATGAATGTCCATGATCATGCAGCACAACGGCAGGAACAGAATTTTTTTTTCCTTTTTAAAATGAATCTCTTCAAAAAAGTTCTGTTTAAATCATTGAAATAACTAAAGTGAATACTAAAATATTGTTTTCAGTGATACCAAACTCTCTAACAGGTTCATATTTTGTCCAAAATGACTAAACATGACTCACTGAGAGTTTTCAGTGGCATGGCTTAAATTAAATGGAAGGACTCACTGAGCCTGTTTCAGTCCTGGCTCCTTGTTTGTGTTGATGCTGGAACTGAGTCCTAATCTTGTGCAGCAGACTTTGGTGGGTTCCTGAAGAAGACAGAAAGACAAAAATGAAAACAGTTGGACAAATGAACAAATTTCAAAGAAAATGAAGTATCATCATATTTTAGCAGTCACTTGCTTACAGAAATGCTGCTTACCATGGTTTAATTTAGAAAAGTGTATGCCTTTTAAAAATATTTCCAGTTTAAGCAGAAATCTAGAGAATCAATGAGGGATCATACTTAAATGAACAGCCTTGAGTGCAACGAGCTTTAAATGCTAGCTGATGCCTTCTTGTGGCAGTAACAGCCAATCTTAGATTTGCTTGAGGGAGAACTATAAAAATGTAAATTACGGAGATCTGATTTGGTCTCATTGCCTTAGCTAAATTCTAACACTTAAACTTAAGATATATGGCTGCTAGAGCTAATTAATATGGATTAATTTGCATATTCAAGAGTCTTCCCATAGTACTCTTTCTCTCTCTTAACTAATATGTGATGATTCCTTCAAAGCTCATGAGGCCATTTAAAGAGTGAACTGGGTTGAAATGAGTGCTTTCATTTAAAAACATTTTGAAATATTTTAAGTGTTACATCTCAGTTTGAACTCTGTCCTACATTTCTTACTAGTTTCTGATCTTAATAAAGTACAAGGATTATTTGCTTAAAAATTTGCACAATTTAAATAGAAAATATCTTAAATGAGATAAAATCTTTTGGAATAATTGTAAATCCATAAAATGATTCAATCTTAGTTTCTGATTTAAATGCAGCAGAAACTAAGCTTAGAAAATAATTTGCAAATCATCCATAAAAAAATATCTACCAGACTAGACTCATAACAATGTAGAAGTTAGATTAAGATCATCATATCATCGGATTAAAAGAAAATAATTTTTCATTTCTTATCAATATTATTTTTTAGTTTCAATAGATTTTGAGGTTTCTTGTTTTCTCATATAAATGAAAATTAAAATAGAGAATACTGAAAGAATAAAGTATTATAAATTATAAAATCATACTAGCTAGATACACAGTTATATATTACTCATAAAATTTAAACTGTATTTAGCTGCACATGACATATACACAGTAGAAAAAGACCAAATACATGGTTAACTAATATCAATGCAAGATCTGCCAATCAAATTCAATCATCTGTAATGTTTAGTTCTTTAGAAAAATATAGCAGTATTAAAGTTCTTAAAGTTCTTATTTCCATCTTTTAAAAACTTGGAAAATCGTTATAAAACATGTTACTTACAAAATTAGCATTGACTTTTGTCACACAATGTTAAATAGGTCTTACCAGAACCAGCAAACTACATAGGGACATTTTAGGGCGACATCATTATTGAAGCTGACACAGCGTTGGTAGGAGCAGCAGGATCAAGTGGATAAAGCCAGGCTTTTCAAATTTGAAGACCACACACCCAAGCATAGGTACCTCCTCCTGAATCTCTCAGTGTGATTGACAGCAATGAGTGATAGGTGCTGAGTTATCTCAAGGGTTGTCAACACACATTTGTCCCCGAATTTACCATGATCTTAATGCACGACATGTGTTCTTAGGGAGCCTGGAGTGTGATGAAAGTGACTAAAGGTCTTGCCTAGAGAATCAACGATCTCCCGAAGATGGGTTGTTTTATTTTCTACCTCTCTCAGAACAGTGGTGGAGATGGAAGCATCAGGGAGTGCTGTTCAAATTTAAATTGCCAGAAGGAAGCTTCTCCTGCAGCTCCATTATTTCTAACTGCATTACCACTGCTGAAAATTATTAGAAAATACCTCCTTTTATTGAGTTTAAATGTCTAAATGAGTATCTTTTATTATTTAAGGCTAAAATATAACATTGAGCCTGAACTCAACTAATGAATCTTTTGCTAGTTTGAGATGTAGTAATATTGGTACTTTATGATATTTCAACTAAAAGTAGAAATTCAATTGTGTAATAAATATTAACCATACCCATGTAAAATATCTGTGAAATATGAAGAAGCAATTGAATTAAGATAAGATAGTAATACTATAAAAATCTAATTAGTGTTCCTCCTGAAATACTATCTAACAAACTTTGAAGAAAGCAAAAATTGAGATTGAAAATTTAGCAAAGTTCCATATGTACTACTGGCTAATTTTAGCTTTTTAATATACAGATGTCAAAGAATTCACAGTCTAACCAAAGAATAAGAGTGCCTTATCTTCTAACAGAAGCCAGTTCATCAAAGACAGATGCCATTTGTAACACTAGATTAAAAATCAGAATGCTTTTTCCCTAGGTTAAAATAAAGTTGTCTATATATCTTTTACCTCACCTTTCTTCAAGTGTCCTTCTATTGGGAATCTCTTTCCTCTCTTCAATCAGTGTCTCTAATCGTTTCTTCCTGTCAAAGAAAAAAGATTGCACTGGCAAATATAAACAGGTTTAGAAAAAAAAAAAAACTTTATTGGAAGCAATTGTTGTAGAAAAGGTTAACAAGAAAGCAATGTGAAATCCACTAAAATAATGATCATGAGAGTTTCTATAACTTAGGCTTGCAGGGATGGTAAATCATCTGTGTTTGCCAAGTGGCTTCCAAAAGAAAAGTAAACTTTCTTAAGTCTTCAAAAGACAAGATAGCCTTAAAACCTGAAGTAAGGCCCTTCTCAGTAGGGTTCCTTAGGCCTCTAAAAGAGACAAGACCTTGGCCCTGGATCACATTTCAAAGAGGCTGTCCCTACTTCCTGGAGAGAGACAGTTTATGGTCATAAGATGATCAAGAAGCCTTATAAAAGCTTCACACTTTAAAGGCTCAGGAAGTTATACGCAATTTTAAATTTTCCAGTGCAAATTATCTGGAAAAGGAGGGGAAGATATCTGGAGGTCACAAGCCTGGAAGCATAAATCCTATGCTGTCTACATTTTAATCCAGCTGAGGAAAATGTTAGGGCCATTTTGGCCACATCAACATCGGCACACTCATGATGTGACCAGTATTCTCTCACTGAATTCTTTTTTTTTTTTTTTTTGGTCTTTTATCGCTACCAGGTACCAGGGATCAAACTCACGACTGCTTGTGACTGCTTGCAACTGCTTGCTTGCAAGGCAGGCGCTTATGCCACTGAGCTAAATCCCCAGCTGCCCTCACTGAATTCTTGTCTTGAGGGTGAGGGAAGAATGAAACCAATGAGACAGCCTTGAATCAGTCGAGTGGAGTGTGGTTTATTAGAAAAAACAAAAAGAAAGCTCTTGCTGGTGGAGAGCAGATTTCAAGAGTGGACAACGAGGGAGAAAGAGACCCGGTCTGGTGGCTTTAGGCACCCTTTGGAGCAACAAAGAGTTAGACAGATGAACCTGTGGACATAAAAATGCGCAGTTGCTACTGGTGCTGTTATTAGGCTTCTTGTCTTCAGCAGATTTTATTAGTCCTTTGTCCTTTGCGCTCCAATTTTCTGAGGCTTACTTCAGTTTACTCAGGTCCTGGCCTTCAGTTTACTCATTTTATGCAGGCTGGTGCCCATTGTCCTCTGTCTCCTGGCCTCAAAGAGTCGAGCTTTCTTTTTCTTTTTCCTTGTGTGTGTGTGTGTGTGTGTGTGTGTGTGTGTGTGTGTGTGTGTGTTTGTGTGTGTTTGTACCGGGGATTGAACCCACAACCTTGTGCTTGCCAGGCAGGCGCTTACGCCACTGAGCTAAATCCCTGTCAAGTATACCCTTCTTATAAATACAAAATAAGTCACGAAACTTTTTTTGGTGGCTATATGATTTTCCTTCTCAGTGGTGTTAGGAGAAAACCAGTAGAGATGAGTGGCGTTCTCTGACAGAGAAGAGTATTCCATCATTAACTGCTTTTGAAAACAAACTTTAGTTGATTGCTTTTAACTTCTCTGAAGATATTGCAGTATTACTGCTTGCATGTTAGGCAGAAAACACTCACCTTCTCCACTCACCACCCTTTTACACCACAGATGGTACTTCCCTATGTCCTGTTTTCTCTTCTCAATAAACTTCATGAAATACTTTTCCCATGCTCATCCACTCATCATCTTTTCACTTCCTAAGCTCACTAATGTTGCACTATCCCACCAAATTTCCCTTTCACACTCACCAGTGGTTGGCTCACTTGTGAATGTGACTTGTTCTCATAGTCCTTATTTTGCACACTTATTCAGAAGCATTTCACAGAATCAGAGCCTCTGATTTTTAGCTATTTCTGTCCATATGTTTCCCATTTTGGTGGATTTTTTCCCCTACTAGGTCTTTATATTATCCATTCCTCTTTCATATCCTCTTCACTTTTCACTTGAAATGCTGTCTGGACAATCTTATTTCTCCCCATAATTTTATGTACATCCATATTATGATGATAGCAAACTGTCATTCTAATCTTTATCTTTTTAGCTTGGACTCAGGCTAAAACATCTTCCTCAGCTATTTCAATGAAATCTTTTTCCATTTTCATTTTTTTACCAGCTACATGTTTTTAGTACATAGTGACTACATTTCTCCTGGGGAAATGGTACATGTGAATAACACATCTCAATTCATCTTTCTTCCCATTCTCCTCCCCCTAATACAACAGTACACTTGGGGCTGTGGAACTGAGATAGTACAGAAGAAACAAAAACTAGTTAGCAAGGAAACAAGGAAATTGAGATTTTAAAATTAAGAAAAACTGCAGCTTCAAGACAAACCTTTTTCCCTGCTTGGAAACTCGCACGCACACACACACACACATGCACACGCGCGCACACACACACATGCACACACACACACACACACACACACACACAAATTCCTAAAAGTCTTTTTATAATAAACCCAGTAAATTCAGCCTCTTAACCTGTCCTTTTTACCTGTAAATAATACATCCTCCACTCTCAGCAGGCAGCAGTACTGGTGGGCAACATGTCACAACCTCAAATCCATGGAACTGGCTTGCGCTGTAACCTGCAGAGAGGATACACATCCTAAATTACCCATCTTGAAGACTCCCTGAAATGTACCCCACTCTGGCTTGTAACACGTCTCATCTCTTGGAGCTAAGCTCCATTCTATGAGCACATCCTAAAAGAAATCCTTCTTGTGTGACTTTTACTGATATGTCCTGAAATTTCTTTTTCACTAATAGGAGTCAGTGAACCTACAAATTTGCTTTTAAAAGGTTGAGACAGATTCCTTACTTCAGCCTGGGGACCTCAGGGAACCAGCCAGAGAACAATGTCATTCCCCCTTTACCAGCTAAATTTGGGCAACACCTCAGGGCCAACCCTCCTTCAAGTGTCCTACTAGAATCAGAAGAATAACAAAACCTCTCAAAGTCTCTAAAACTCCAGGTCAGAGAAAAGGCATGTTAGCTTCAGTGGTTGACCAAAAGTAATCTTCTGCCACTCAAATGTCAGTAATAATTCATTCATAGGGCCCTCATGTTATGGTTATAACTAAAACACAGTGAACTGTGGGAGGGAGAGTCATACATATTGGATGCCCCTGAGATGACTCAGTATCCTGCCAATCGTATGCAGAAAGATCCAGGGAGAAATGCCCAAAGTGGGGCATACCTCTTTTCAGTACAAAATGCTAGTTTATCTTTCTTCTCTCTCTTCCATTCAGGCAACACTTCCCCATCCAACCAACTTTTGGTTTTTGCTGGCATAAACCTGCATGGCTTGAGCACACCTTCCTTCTTAATTTCAAGAAATGTAGCTGTTTTTTGTTTATTTTTCCTTTTTAGTCAGGTGCTTAGTTCATTTTCTCAGTCTGGGATAATATACCCAATACTCACAAAATAAAGAAGGAGAAGTTTATTTTAAATCACAGTTTGTAGAAGTTTCAGTCGATACTCTGCTGGGGTATGGACTGCAGGGTAGCATGGCAGAGTAAAAACAGTTCGTGGCAGGGCAGGCAGGAGACAGCAAGTTCTCAAGGGAGGAAGAGGGAGGTAGATATAACCGGGCCATGCCCACTGCGACCCACCTCTTCTTACCAGGTTTCATCCACTCACATACCTATCCAGCTATAAACCCATCAGCGAGCTAATCCAGTATCACTAATCCCATGATCCAATATCACTAATCCCATGATCCAATATCACACATCTATGGTTCAGTCACTCCCAAAAGCATCACTTATGAGTACACAGGCTTGAGGGACATTTAGATATAAGCCATAGCAGGTGTATATGAGGTGGGCTTGTGAACAATATAGGAATCCATGCAGCCAAATTTATAAATTTGGAATTTAATTAACTGAGCTCAAGACCACTCATATACAGCCCCCCCCCCCATTTCAGGGTCCAAACAAGTGGCACCAAACTGGAAAGTTACAGAGATTTTAAAAGGGAGAATCACAGAAGACATCCTGTTGGAAACAATTTAGCTAGAATCTTACATTAATTTTTGGTTGACACCTGTATCCTGTTTCTTTTGTTGAGCAGGTTAATTTTTCTCCTGTGGGTACAGCTCATTCTGCTTTTCTCATGGGACTTATACCCTGAGTAATTTTTCATTTTCCTGGGTCAAATACAGGACACTAGTTAAATGCAGAGCTCAAGATAGCATCAGTTATGCCACACTACAACAGTATACTTGTAATTCTTGGCTTAATGTACATGAGAAGCTGGAATCTCTCTCAGACACATCACACACTGCAAGAGTTCCATCTATTAAAATCAATGATACAGAACAAATAAACTTGTTTCCAATTCTGGTTTTTCATGATACCCAAGAGCTTTTATTTCTCCTTCTAATTCTTGCTGCATATAATTAGTACACCAGAAGCATTGATGTCACATGCAAAGTGTTTTTTCTCTTGAATTTACCCACTTCTCCATGCCTTTCATGTGATTTTCTCACAAATTCAGTCCACCACATGTGACATAAATTATTACAATCTCCATAATTAATATCTCTGTGTAGTCATAAAAATTTGTTCTTTTATTCAAGCTGGCATCCTATTCTCATACATTTCCCAAACAAAATAATAATTTCATAAGTATTTATTAAATAAATGAATAAAAGAATGTAAATACATTTTTATTGCCTATTCACCAAAGGAAACAGGTTTCTAATCTCGACATTGCATAACTTCTATTTAAAAAACCAAGGCAATGTCATATTACTGAGTAGCTGAGCTGAAACTATGTGCTGTATCAAGCACATACTTCACATCACATTTGACCAAAATACCAGAACAGGAAAAATTTAGTAACCTTCTCATCCTCACTAGCAAGTAAATCTGAAATATGCTATGCTTTGTTAAAAATATCTGTACAAATGGTATACCACCCTGAGACCTAGGGAAATAAAGCTACAACCATTTTCTTGTCTTTGTTTACTGTGTGAATTGACTGAGCTCTGCAGGGCAGTTCAATTTCTCAAGATATTGGTTCAAGTGTAGCCTTCTGAGAATTCCGCATTCAGTACATTCAATGGAATTCACTCCTAGGGCTCACATTTGATACCAGTTCTTTTCTAGATGGTCAGTGGGGTGCCTGGGCCTCCACATCTTGGCAGTTGTGCTACCAGACCTTAGGCTCAGGACTCGCTTCACATGGCTTAAGTCCATACTGTATTAATTACAGCAGGCCACAGAGCCAGCACAGACTCAAAAGAACCACGATATGTTCAGTTCCGTTTCACTGATCTACAAGTCCATCTTTAGGACAGGACCACATCACAGTGACTACTTCAGCTTCATAACAAAGTTTGGAATCAAAAGGCATTAGTACTCTGACCTTGAAATTGGCTATTCTGAATCTCCTGCATAAAAAATCAAACAAACCAAATGGAAATTTCAGGTTTGACAAAGATGATTACTAAAATGAGAAAAGTGATGTTCAGCTTGGGGGTAAAATTATAAGAAAAGATAACCACTATTGGTATTCAATTCAAAAGCACTTACTATGTGTTAAAAACTACTTTAAATCAAGAAAATAGCACTGACTCTGTTTTACATCATGTGCTATGTCTATCCTTGGTTTTGACTGACAGCTTTGTTTTGTCATATTTGACTTTATTCTCCCCCGCAAAAAAGTAATAAGAACTAAGGAGTAATAAAACCCAAAATGTGTAAATTTTGTTGTAAAAAAGAGAGGGGAAAAAAGTGCTCTAAATGATACAACAGCAAGTGTGTTTAGGGGTGTTAAATAGCTGACCATATTAATGTTTTTGGTTGGATCATTGAACACAACTGTTTGCAGTCTCACTGTTTGAGTGTCCACTTTGTATGCTTTGATACTGTGACTTGAGCAACTATCTCTAAGATGATAATATGTAATCTATTAACTGGTGATTTCTTACTGTTTTTTTTTTTTTTTTTGTAGTTCTGTATTATTTGTACCCTTACACCGCTTTGTTTTGTTTTTGTTTTTTCTCTTTTTCCTTTTAAATAAAATTTAAAAAAATAGCACTGAAAGAGGCAAAATTTTATGGTTTGTGTCTGGGTGTTCCCCTAAAGCCTCATGCAGTCATGGAGGCAGCTAAATCTAGCATTGATTGGTTCACTGCCATGTGCTAGGATTGTTGGTTTGAATGCTGTACCTGGCCAGGAGTGAGTAGCCAGCATATAATAAAAGGGAAGGAAGGAAGGGTGCTTTTCCCTTTTTACCCTTTCATACTTGTTGACCACAGCTTCCAAAAATGGTTGCCCCTTAGACATGCTACCCTGCCTTGGAGCCAGGTGAGTATGTACTGAAACCTCCAAAAACTTTAAGCTAAATAAAACTTTGCTTCTCTAGTTTTGAGGTTTGTGTATATTGTCCCAGCAATTAGGAAAAAAAAAGTAACCAAGACACATAATATCTAATTAATTTTAATTTTATAATCTAGCTTCTTAAGTTTTGTATCCCAGCAGTATTAATATTACATAGCCAAAACAAAAGATAAAAGGATAACATTCCACACTTTGTCAAGCAAAATCCCTAAAGAAGAGTTACACCCTTAAAAAAAAAAAGGAGAAACAGTTCCAGGAGAACATGGTGGATGGATAACAGCAGCTATGGAGGCTGTCTGAGATAGCCAGCTTAGACTCCAGGAATGGTGCGCTGTGGGGAGTCCTAAGCAGGGGGAGATATACCCTGCCAACCCAGGAATGAACTAAGCTGAGAGAAACCAACTGGAAATCCCAGTGCTACGACTGGAACAGCTAAAATCTCAGTGCCAAAGCTGGAACCTGCGCCTCTGGAAACTATGGCTTGAATTTCCGGCCACCGCTGCTGCATCTGAATTGGCATAGCAGGGAATAGAGACACGAAAGCTCTGAGAGTGGAAATCGGCAAACTGAATTGAGAGCAGAGCTGGCGGGGAGCCCTGCAACGACCTGCAGTGAGTGAGAGGAATGGGGACCCTTTCATAGACTAGGAGGCTCCAACAGAGGACATTCTGGGTCCGGGCAGACTAGCCAGAACAGGATGCTGCAGTGATTTCAGTCACATAATCCCTTCTCAAGTGGGAATGGTGGGGAGTGCTTGACCTGGGTGACTCCATGGACTAAGACCCAGTAGGCTAGCCCAAACCAGGTCCCCGCACCTGGCAGTGCACCCTAATGCAGTGAAGCCTTCAGTAGATTGACTGACCTGGAGGTGCAGGCCCAGCATAGGCTGCCCAGGTCTGTGTCTCCCTAGTACATTGCAGTGGGTGGGAACACCTAGCTGGCATGATTCAAACAACTGTGGCCAACAAAGAAAGAAACTAGGCTTCCTATATACGCTTGTATGTAAGGAACAAAAAGTATGGGAAGAGGGAGCGACAAGAAAGGGTCCTCAGTCCCCAATCCTTAGAACACTGATCCAGGAAAGGTAAATGCAAAGGAGAATGAGGACAGAAAACATGCAATATCAGGCAGGGCACCAATAGACATAAAGCAATATCTCTGGAACCTCATAGATGAGTTCAAAAGTGAAGTATTTAACCAAGTAAAGCAAGATATAAGTAGAATACTTAAAGAAATGC